GTACATGCAGCTGAGGAGCTTATTCCAAAGTTTTGATTTAGAATTTTCAGGACAACATAGTGAACTAGAAAAACTTATATTCAATCCTGAAACATGTCACAGATTGACAGGCAAAGTCTATAAAATTTTGCAGAAGTCATATTTGGTTGATAATTTGTTGAAATCTAGAACTTGTTTATGGAACCAGGATTTAGGAAGGGAGGATATAAATTCCAAGTGGGAACAATGTTGGAATATAACAAGAGATATTACATTCAATGAAAATTTACGTTTGATTCAGTATAAAATAATGTATAGAATATATTGTACCAGGGATAAAATGCATAAGTATGATGGAAAGGTTTCAAATAACTGCTTAAAGTGTGGAACCCCAGACTCTCTGGTTCATGCGTTCTGGGAATGTTATAAAGTTCAGAAGATTTGGTTGGAAATAGAGAATTGGCTATCTGAGGCTCTTGGTACGAAGCTTCATTTCCATCCATCGCTTTGTATTTTGCAAGATGTTTCAAATAATAATAATATGCATTTTCCACAAAAATGGATCATTCTTTTCTCATCTTTGATATTAAAGAAACTTATTCTACAACATTGGAAATTTACATATCCTCCCTCTCTTAGTCACTGGAAAAATGAACTGTCTTTTTATTTGAACATGGAAAAGCTTATAGCCACTGAAAAAAATAAAGTGACTCAATTTGAAAACATATGGGGAAAAGTATTACAAGTGTTGAGTTCATAAAGGTGTATGTTTAACAAATGTGTATGAATTATCTGTGCTGATGTTATATTTAATTTATTCAGTAGGATAAATAAATAGCATGGCTTAAAACAAGGGACATCTATTAAACTGTTTAACATGAGTAAATTTAATTCGCTGGATGATAGAGATTAATGTAATGATAAAGGACATGAAATTAGGAGGTTGAGCTTGTTTGTTTTCGCTGTGGGTCTGTTATAAATTTGTGTTGTGTTTTTATTTATTTTTTTGTGTAATTGTTTTGTTTGGTTTTGTTTGTGTCTGGGTTTTTGTTCTTTCGTTTGTTTGTTTTCTCGTTTTGGATGTTTTTATTATAATCGTGTATCGTGTATCAACCGTGAAATTTTTGTTATTTGAGAAATGAAAATAAAATAATTATATATAAAAAAAAAAAAAAATCGCAGCATTGACAGACAAACACCTGTCTTTATCTGGACCAAAATTGGTTTGGTGAGCTCATTAAGCCTTGAACTTCACAGACAGGTGCATCTAATCATGAGAAAAGGTATTTAAGGTGGCCAATTGCAAGTTGTTCTTCTCTTTGAGTCTCCTAGTGGTGCTCCTTCCTTGTGTATCTTCGGGAGTCCATAGATGCATGGGATGGTCCTAGCAGGGTAGAGTCAATAATACAGTGGTCTGTCAATGACTTTCCTTTTCCAGTTTTTGTAGATAGTCTATTACCTTCTTTTTGTAGCCACTGCTAGGATCACTCCTCAGTGTTTTGTATGTGGCTGTGTGGCTAAGCAGAACAGTGAATTTGGGACTACCATGCCATACCATGATGAAGCTTCTTGAATGAGAGGCGAAATGTCTCCAGTTGCCTACGATATAGCACTTATGATTACGTGCTTTTATGGAGATTTCTCCAGTGGTTGATGCAAGGGGCTGCATTGGAGGGGCAGGTTGCTTTAGGTGTTAGTGAGATGATGACACATGATCCATGAAGTCCAGTTGAAGTGACACATCCATGAGTTTGAAGGGTTGGCAGATACGAAAACACTGCACAACTTTTTATGACAAATGCCTTACTGGAAGATGCTGCATTGAGTTGTGCCAAAAATTGAGATGGAGTAAACTTGTACCAGAAGACTCTGCTAATGGCAGAGTGCCAATGATAGGCTGAACACTTCCTGTTTGCGTGAGTGGCAGTCAGTACAAAGATATTCAATTTACAATGATATGGAACAGAAAAGCTGAGAAAACTCACGTTTGTAGCTGAAATGTTGATATTTTGGCCTCTTTGCTTGATAAATGACTAAATAGATTGCTCAGAAATCAAAATTGTTATTGATCAATTTTCTGTCATTTAGCTCATTGACTAATGAGTTCTTGTTAGTGTTATTTTCTTTGTGTCAGAATGCTGAAATTGCTCAGGGCGTAGGTGGCTTAGCAGGGTCCGACATTAATGGTTGCCTGAATGCCCGGGGCAAGTAAAAATAGCCGGCGGGCCAGCAGACCCTGCGCAGACACGCCCAATCAGGCAAGCAGCACCGACTCCATTTTTTTTTTTTTTTTTTCTAATCACAGGGCAGGAATTATACCACGGCCAAACGGCCAGTGCTGTAATCCCCTTCCTACCCATACGGCCAGTGTAGCATGTCCTGTTTTTTTTTTTAACATTAACATGACAAACAGCAAGGCTACGGCTAACAAGTTGATGTACTGACACTCCTCAGACAGACACACACACATACCGGACAGCCTCTCAGTCCTTAGCCGCTAACGTTAGCTCATGTACAACACAGGTACCACACAGAAACTTTTACAAAGGGTCATAATGTGCTTCTAGTGACTATCAAATCGCCAGCGAAACTTGTTTACACTGCCTGCTCTCATGGGACAAAGATCCTCTGTGAAGGAAGACAGTTTACTCTGCTCTGCCACCAGGAACAAACTGGGAGGCAAAGATCCTCTCTGAGGAAGAGGATTCACTTTGCTGCAGGGTTCACCAAAACGTTTTTTTGTTTTTGTTTTTCTTTTAATAAATTGAACAAACATTAAAGAACATACAAGATCCTGTAGAGAATTAATACATATAATACAATACAATAAACATTGTCAAATTAAATGAAGGAAGAGGATTTTTTTAAAGTCAAGTAAAACATTGGGGATTTATGTAAAATATCCATAGAGACATATATATAATTATATAATTAAAGATATGTAGGTTATGTTAGGTGAATACTCCTGTCAGTGACCCTGACCACTGGCATTGGCAAAAGAACTGGAGTTGGTCCCCGGACGCTGCACTGTGGCTGCCCACTGTTCCTAGTGTATACAGTAGGATGGGTCAAATACAGAGGTCAAATATATGTAATGTGCTGAGAAAGGACAATAAAGAATCTTCTTCTAATAATAATTTCTTAATAACTAGGAGATAACAACAGAATAAAGAGATTTCAAAGACTTAAAAAATAAGGGACATGAATCAAAACAACAAGAAACGAGATATGTCCCCAGTCATGCACACCCAGTTTTAATAAACTCAGTGCTGTTTTTCAACACGTATATTGTTTTGGCTTCATTCAATGTAATTAGCACATATTGTTATTGCGCCATTGGTTTTGGCCTTGGTGCCCCACATTTTGGCCGTGATGCCCCAAGAAATTTGTATTTATCAAAGGCCAAAGTGGCCTTGCCCTAAAAATGACTTAATTCCAGGCCTGTAATCGTGTATTTCCTCTCCTGTTTCTGTCCTCGGAGGGGCCAGTTGCAGTGTGCTGCTTTTTTATGTGCTGCTGCCTCCATTGGCTGAGCGTCTCTGCTGACGTAAGATATAAGTCATGAACAAAAATATGCACCACACAGCCAGAAAAAGAACCTCTTAGGCAGGGCAAGTAAGAATTTAGATGGGGCAAGTAGATTTGAGAAGTACTTGCCCGGCAGGGCAAGTAGGAAAAAACCTTAACGTCGGACCCTGCTTAGTGGTAGAGCAGGCGCCCCATGTACAAGGCTGTTGCCGCAGCGGCCCGGGTTTCACTCCAGCCTGTGGCCCTTTGCTGCATGTCACTCCCTCTCTCTCTCCCCCCTTCACACTCATCTGTCCTATCGATTAAAGGCTTAAAAATGCCCGAAAAAATATCTTTAGAATGCTGAAATTGCTGCATCCCCAAGAAAAAAGAACCATCTTTAGCTGCATACTATCACTGCTTGTTTATTTCATTTCATTTAACTAGGGATACGCGATATTGGATATTTTTGCCGATATCTGATTTATCAGTATGTAACAAATCATTTGACTGATAACCCATACCAATATCGATATATCCACTTTTTCCCACCTAATTTTAGTGATCATCACGTCTCTTCTGTAGTGGAATTAACATCATATTATGCATGCATACTCTTATTGTGATGGCCCACCAGCAGATGGAGACATGAAATTCAATACTTTTTAATGTATGCAATATTCATTCATTGTGCAAATTTAGAAAAGCATGTTGGCCTATTCTAATAGTTCATTTTAAAGCAAATATTGACTATTACTGTGCAGCTCCAGATTTAACCTTTAACCAGGAATAGTCCCATTAAGATTCAGAATCTCTTTTTCAAGGGAGTCCTGGCCAAGACAGCAGCATGAAGAATTTCACATAAAAGAACAAACAGACTAAGAACACAATAGCAAAAAGATTAAACAAACCACTTCAAGTTCACACGCAAGAAACAAGGAACAAATTTAACCCAGTTCAGACTAATGATTCATGATGAGACAAAACCGTTTTAGAGTGTTGCAGAGACAAGTTGCAGTGGTTAGAACTGGCCGGTCTGAGCTTGATTCAAGCCAGCTGATGGTGTCACCTGCAACTCAGCTGGTTAAATTGCCAATGGCTGGTTTTAGAACAGCACGTCACCTGTTTCAACAGCCAATGGGCTTGTAGTGAAGTCCACTGGTCAAGTCAAAATGACCACAGATGGCATGTTTGCTTGCTGTGGCAGGTGCTCCGTCCCTGCCAAGCCCTCTGTTCCCACCCTCACAGTGCGCCAGTGCTCAGCTGCCCAAATACACGTTAATATCAGGTGTAAACAGGCTAAAAAAAGTCTACTACAATGTGTGTATTATTTACCAGGTCCAGAGTAGTATGCACTCTGTGGGCCTAGAGCTCCTAGCTTAGTTCCTTGAACACCAGATTAGGTCATGCAGGGGACATGGATAAATTAGCCAGTGGGCTCATGTGGAAAGACTTGGTGTATCTGTCCTTGGTACAGTGTCCCTTACCTCACCCGCCTGCTCTTGTGTCACCAGGTTCTCCCGATCTGATGAACTGTCTCGTCACCGCCGCTCTCACTCTGGCATCAAGCCATATGAGTGCTCACTGTGCGAGAAGAAGTTTGCCCGCAGTGACCACTTATCCAAACACACGAAGGTCCACCGCAGCTCCAGGCCCAGCAGGATTATCAGAGCCACTGTGTGACACCTTCAGCTGGCCTAAACCCTGACCTGCCCCCACCCAGCCTGGCCTGGCTCTGATGGGGGGGGGTCTGGGTCTCCCTCAGGACTTTTGGTGCTTCACAAGCAGAACTTTCAGAAGAACAGTGAGAGCTGGCTGCTGTTTTCCCTTCATTTTTTCCTTCCTGTCTTTCCCTCCTGCTGTTCATCTTTTACTGTTCTTTCTGAGCAGCTTGTCTTATACTGAGCAGCCACCTCAGGAAAAAATCCACTGACAATGGATTTCCTGGCCTTCACACACACGCACACACACACACACACACACACACACACACACACGACAAAACACATAACCAGTCAGTCTCACAGAGGCCCTTCTTGCAACCACTGGTTGCAGCACAGTTACCAAGCTTCCAGGTGCTGTTGGAAGTGGGGTGGTAACCAGTAACACGTGTGTCTGTAATTCTTTAATCCCCTTTCTTCTTTTGTGATTGCCCTTCTTCCTCAAAGCCTAACTTCAGGGTCCACACAGAAAAAGCTTCCCAATGTTTTTGTATGTTGTTAAAATGAAAATTTAGTGCCAAGTTTATTTTATGTGTTCTAATCATATGGTTGTGTTCACGTGGCAGAGCGTGACAGCCATCGCTGTGCGGTGAAATTATGACTTAAAGCTGCAGAATCTCCTCAATACTTTGCAGATTTTTAGAGTGACATTTCACTCTGAATGAACGCTGTAGCCCCATTTTCACCAAACACGTTTGGTATGGTACCTTTGGAACCAAAAGTAACCCTTCAGACATGGTATCTAGACCCTAGGTCCATTTAGCATTTCCACCACAAACAGTACTCTTAAATGTGGGCAGGGTTGTTGTCACTCACTGCACTGTCCCACACTCGCTGTATTTCCTCTTCACCAGTGACACAGATGGAAGTCTGCACCTCATTTATCATCCGTAGAATGGGATTGCACGCCAACATTTTGTGAACAACATTTTGTGCATTGAGTGCTTCTCAGGCAAGTGCAGGGGTTTAGTGTTGCCATAGCCCACAGGAACAATGCTCCATGATGCTTTTTTTTCTCCAGGTGAGGATTAGAATATACGCAGTCAACATAATCCGGTCAAAATTAATATATATATTTTTAAACACTTGAAGATCCACTCATTACTAAAAGTGTATGTCATCCAAGAGAGACAATAAAAACTAATGGAGAATTGAGTAACGTTACAAGTAAACGTTCCACCTTAAAAGTTGCAGGCAGTTGGCCCAGTAAATTAAGTAAATTTTTTTCTCAGTCTCCAGCTGCTGCTAGAGGCAGCAAAACATCCTTTTATTTTATAGTTCTGCTTTACTAATGTATGTAAAACATGCTACAGTATGAACAGTGGTTACATGAGCTTCAAAACCTACTACTACTCAGCCCTGAGCAAGAGTGACTGTCCTCTATTGACCAATCAATGGGCTACAAAGTTTCTATTTCCACCTTATAGTACCAGATCTGTGTGCTAGGTATCCCAACAGAGGGGCGCCAAAAATGGGGACGTAAGAAACAGTTCCATTGTTACCATCCACAACTTTTCACAGTGGAAACAGGAAAAATGCATACCAAACTGAAATGAATTGAACCCTGTGGGACTACTGGGTTAAAACGGAGCTTATGACTCTTGATATTAGGAGTAAATGCCGAGATACTGTTAAACTTGTGGCTTTGCTCACAATTTGGCCAAACTGAGAAAAACTTCTGTTTTAAGCATTCAGTCCTGGCTTTTTTTTGTATTCATTCAATCCTAATCCACTCTGTTTTGACCCTTTATTCCTTTGCTCAGCTCCTGTAATCTCTATTGATGCCTTTGTCCATATCACAAAACCAACCTCACTTGATCCTACTGTTATCATATGACTGCTCTTATTTAACTGTGATTCTGAACTGGGGGTTGCCAAACCAGAAAACCCTGTTCTGGCCCTTTGAGGAAATGACACCCTTGCTGCGTGACAGTTTATAAGCTCTTTGTTCTCTGAAATTCTCTTGAAAATCATTGTGCTGCCGACTTACATGGCCTAGAAAACTACTCTGTCTGTGTGTTATATCTTGGCTCAATGGTGCAAAAGTGATGTGAAGCACTGCTCTTTCGTCTTTACAGTAGCAGTTACTGTAAAACAATTCTCTGTTGGTTATAGCAGCAAGAAAAGCTAATAGATTAAACAGCTGGAAAGGCAGCTAACATCTACTCAATCATCTGTATTAGCATACTCAATATAATGTGTACTGAACATAAAGGACAAAGATAAGATGTACAGCTTGTAGCCTTTATATACATGTTTTGTTTTTTTTTATCAATGAGGATTTTCTATCAGTGCATTAAGCTATTCAGTCGTGTTTCTGGAGAGGTTTTTGGTCTGTTATGTGAGTTTGATTGTAGCGTGATCAATCTGTGGAATGTCAGACTGATTATGGTTTGGGATTTGGAGTCCCACTCTACCCATTCACAAACCATTAAGCTGAGTCTGCTGGTCTCAAGTGCACTTGTGTTAGTGGAAAGTGAGAAACAGTTATTGTGCTCTTACGGCAGTTCCATAACATGTATTGGAACCGTAAAATGCCAAAAAAAAAAAAAAAAGGATTTTGTAAGGAAAGTTAAACTGCACCATGCAGTGCAGTCACTATTATCATTTGTTTGTGCTCTAAATACATTGGTGCTTGTTAACCTACCAGTGCTTCACATAAAGAGACAGTATAACTAACAGCTTCACATAACTGGATTGTCTCTGTTGAACCAGCAGACATTCACTACTACAAACTGTAGGCTACCGGCAATCTTAATTTAGCTTGAGCAACGTTGGTGCTTTTGGATAAACTCAAAAGTAGAGCACTTCTGCATGTAGCAGTGCACAGTCATTTACACAGCAATCCTTCTCATATCCCTGTCTCGTAGCATTATGGATACATTAGGTTTCACTTCTGTAGAACCAACCATGCTTAGTAATGTAGAAACCCATTCAAAGCAGACAGACGGGCAGACGTGTTTATCTGTCTGAACCAGCGCTGTCTTTGTGTCTGAGCCTCCCCAGGCTGCTTCTACTGACCTACATCCAGACCTGTATTCCCTAATCATCATCCAATTCTCTTTCTCTTTCTCTCTCTCTTTCTCTCTCTCTCTGTCTCTCTCTCTCTGTCTCTGTCTCTCTCCTGCCTGTGTATCTGGTTGAACACAGGCTGTATTTGTTTTGAGGTTTTTTTTTTAATACCAGATATGCTATTTTCCTATTTGCAAAAATAAAATGCAAAAGATGAAAATGCTGAATCCTTTGCTCCTTTGTTTTTTTTTTTAGGGATGTAAAGAACTGTAATAGCCATTGAGGAAAGAATGGGAGTTGCAGTAAAAGCATGGTTCACACACAAGTGTGACAAAGTGTTCATTTTCACACTCACTACCGTTTTACATAGTACTATACTGATTCTATTGTGTGGAACGATATGGTCCCATTTAGACATATACCAGTTAATGATTGGTCAACAACACCAATGACGGGCAAGTTACTCTTAAAATGTAATCTATTATATATTACTAGTTACCTTCATTTGAAAGTAATAACTTACTTGACAATATTACTCTCTGTGTAGAGTAATACTACTCATTACTCACGTTACTCATTACACTACTTTTGTATTACTTTGACCATAATGAGCTCAGAAGAACTAATGTTCATTTTAAATGGATGAGTGTCATGTTGTTTCACAGCAGGTAATTAAATCACAGAAGCTCCACTTTATTATAGTTCATGTCAAATCCAGTGCTGCGCAGGTCTGGCCCATTCATGTATTCACATACAGTGGTTACCATTTTGTATTAAAATCCCCTGCTTGTATTAATAATAGCCTGATGATATAGAACCATTTAAAAGCCTAGACCCCCCTAAATAAATGAAAAGCCCTGGACACAGTGACGGTCAGGCGGAGGATCAAAGTCTGTAACTTATGAGATACAGATAAATATTTGTGGGTCTATGATATGAAACACAATAAACAAATATTGAGGTTAGCGCAACAAACAGAATGGCATGCTGATTAGTCATTATGACGAGCGCAAATGTACCGGAGCTGGAAGACCCACCTGCCAGTTCCCAGTGTGCTGTGGTCAGCTACAACAGAACCAGAGAGAGACTTATGCATAAGAACAGGACTGTTTGCCGGCGTTGCTCTGTGGTTGTAGGGGATGTAAATGGAAACACATCCAACATGTACTAATGTCATCCAGATGTGCCAATCATATTTGATATATGTTGTAGATGTTGTAGGTATATTAATGGAAACACACTGACCATGATAATGTACAGTACAGCATCACCCAGATGTGCCAATCACCAGCACCTCTCTATAATGTAGCGTATAATGACATGACAACATACAACAACCTTTGGGGTAGGGATGCACCGAAATGAAAATTTGTGGCCGAAGCCGAAGTTTAGTTAAACGCTTGGCCGAATACTGAGTACCAAATACTGAATATCGTTGTTTAGTTTTTCGTTAGTTTTTGCAGATGAACCTCCTCTAGATTAGTGTTGTCACAGTACCAAAATTGGGACCCACGGTACGATACCAGTGAAAGCATAACAGTTCTGAGTAGTATCACGATACCACAGCGAAAATGAGTCAGATGTGCCTTTTGTCATTTATAAAAAGATAAATCACTTTTCTATTATAGGCTACATCAATGATATTTCAATGGAATAAATTACTTATTGACTTATTCATACTTCAAAAATAGCATCAATCAGTGATGAACATAGGGGGGATTGAAATAAAATAAATAAAATAAAAATCAACCAGCCACTGACAAGTAAGGAACAGTCCCTTCATAAGTAAAGAACAGTCCCTAAAGTGCGGTGAGGTTTGTGGACCGTTACCTTCCACAAAGAGAGAAATGTGAATGGCTCGTTTCCCCTCTGACACGTCACATACCTGTGTGCTGCCACGGCTCGGCTGTCCAGGTACTTTTGGGCAGTCATGACGCCAAGAAGAGGACATTATTGGAGCCAGACTTCTCCATTGCCGGTAAGCTTATGGCCGCCGTGTTTGACAGGAATACATTCCTGTCTGTGTCTGTGACCCTCGTTCAACCCACAACCGGCAGGATTCGCCTTTTGTTTCTGCTGCTGGTTGAAATCTGTACTCGCACAGCGTGATGAATGATTTATTTTGCTCGAACAAAACTATTTTTAGTCGCAAATGTGAGTGCAGTGACTACGTACACACCACTCCTGTTTCAGTGCCATATGATGTCCTGCATCGACACACTGATCCAGCGTATAAGCCTTTGGGCATCGATATACCAATTGATCCAGCGGTATAAGCC